CACCAACCTAATTCTATAAAACACATCCTCTCGGATCTGTCAGCCTACCTTCTACAAAGAGTAAACAGAGCTGCACAGTTTAACAGAATGACTTCTAAGCAAATTTGAGAAAGATGGCACAAACACCTCCAGGAATGCTTCTGTTTATTTCCACTTCAGGGCATTCATTTCACTTTAGCTTAAATCAATTTCTAATTAACATAAAACACAACAAAACAAGCCTGGTTTAAATTATAACAAATGTCCACCTGGACCTACACCTGCCACACTACACCATAACCTGTCGGAGCATTCTCCTTGCACAAGGATGGTCTAAGGCACAGAGATTCGAACAGGATCAAGAAGGCTGGCTGCCCAGTTACACCACCCCATTCTAAACACCAGCCAATCCCACCCAAAGGTTTAGTGGAGTTTGGGGACGTTTCTCTCTTCTTACCTCATCTAGAAGCTGGAGCAGTTTGTTCCGAATTTCTTGGGCGTTTTCCCCCTGAGGGTCCTTGAGGAGCTGCCGGAATTTCTCAATCACCTGGTAAAAGGCATTCTTCCACAGCAGCTGGTCCACGTTCTGGGTATCGGAGAACTCGATGTCCATCAGAATGCACCGTTCGTACAGCTGCAGCATCTCCACCCTACAGCGAAACACAATCAGCGGTCAATACAACAGCAACTGCCCAGCCCGGGGCTGAGCCGCCAGGAAACATGTGCTGAGCCACCTGCTGCAAGCACGAGGCGTCAGCAGTTCAGCCGGCTCGCATGCTACGGCAAATCGATGCTACCACACCTGGCCCAGAGGGAGATGGGAGCTGGTGCAGTCAAACGCCCTTCCTGCTCCAGGAGGGCAAATCTGAAAGGACCGCCTCCCTCTTACATATGCATCGGAACAGATCAGGGCCTGCCAAAGAGCAAGGAGCTCTGCTACAGCTCTGCCACTGGGAACAGCAAGGCACAAGTGTCTCCTGATACTAACACAGAGAAAGTGTGCACGGCCAGGCTCTGCTCCTTCTGAGCACAAAGGCTCCTAAGGGCTAGGAACAAACACACAAAGAACCAGAAGGGCAGGAGAGGTCTTGCCGTTCAAACAATCCCCACCTCCCTTCCATCCAACCAAACCACACAGCAGAAACAGAGACCCCGCTTCCTCAAAAGTGAATGAGAGCTGGGAATGTCACACCTGAAGGAAACAAAGCCTCAGAGTCCCAGAAATCACATTCCCCTCACCAGCTACCTACAGCCTCGCCCGAACACCGGAGCAGCATTCCTCCCCGAATTCAATAAAATAGTTGCAGGCTAGAAATAGCTCCGCAATACGTGGGGCAAGTTTATGGTAAAGAGGATCCTCAGCAGTTGCTGGCTTGGCAGCCTTATCCCTTACAATGCTTCGAGCCCTGCAGAAAACAGTGCAACAGCATAGATAGCAAAGCCTGGAGTGAAGCCAGATGGCGATGCCCGGAAGAGCCTGACAGAACATGAGAAGGATGCTGGCGAGTTCCCGTGCAAAGCACAGAGCGCGGTTCTGCTGCCCTACCCCACGCAGTCCCCAAACCCTGCACACACACGCTTGGACAGCACCAACACCGCCCGAGAGAGCCGGGCGTTTCTGCAGACGGGCACCTGACAAGCAGCGCTTGCATCCAAGAGCCCCAGCACAGCTCCACAGGCAGGCTGGCAGCGCGCACTCAGCCGCGGGCAGGAGACACATTGAGGCGGATGGATGCTGCCGGCAGGGACAGGGCCAACCATGCCTACGCTCCCAGGGCAGGGTGGGCTTCACGCGGGCCACAGCAGCACTGCGCAGCCTTTCCTCTCCCTCCAGACAACAGCTCGGGGTGACCTTGACACCTTGAGGAAGACCCAAAACCTCCAGTGCTACTTCAAGCTCAGACACGTCCCACCCTGTGCTCTATAGTGCAAGTCCCCAAAACACAGAACAAGCCCCGAAATGAGCTCACCTGCTAGACTTGCTGCCAGTCAGCTCTGAAAATAAGTCTCCAGAGAAGCCCCGGAGACAGGGAGGTCACAAGTAAATGTGAAAGATGTCAAGTAGAAACTTGCTACAGCCATGTTTACTACCCTCCAGAGCACCAGTGTCACTTCCCTCTCGCTAGCTGGCGTCACCAGGCTACTCCCACTGGACCGCCACATGTCACAGGGTTGAGCGGTGTCAAGAGCAAAACTACCCAGTGCTTGAAAGGCGCTGTCACTGTTACACAGCATCAGGAACCCACGCAACGCTTCGCAAGCACAAGCCGACAGTCGCCGCCCCTGAAGCCCACAATGCAAATCAGACAGCGGATAACCGAGGACAGGTAAGAAAGCAGAAGTCCGCCAGCAAACGCTGAAAGCACGTGAGAGCACTGGAACTGAGAGAGACCAGCTCCAGCAAAAGCAAGGAGAATGCAAGAGCCGCAGCGGGTGCTCGTCCTGCTCCCTCGCGTCCCTGTGAAGCAGGCAAGGCATTCCACAACCACAAGAAGCCATGGCTTAGCTCCCAGCCCAGGCAAACAATATCTTCGCCCACAGTTTCCTTCTGATCCCCACACACTTCTGGCACTTGACAAACAGTCCCAGCACATCGAAAGCTAGCGAGCCACTGCCCCATCTCCCAGTCTCTGAGACATCGACATCTCCAGTCTACCAGATCCCCAAGGAGCACCACTCTCTGGATAACAGTTCTGGTAGCAGTTCACCCTGGAAATGACCCGGTCACACACCCCTCTACAGCACAGCCACAAACCTCAGCTGGGCCATCTTCTCCAGCCCCTCCGGGCTGATGCGGTCTCTGGAAAGCAGATTGCTGAGCTGCTGCTCCTGGTTCCCAGCCTCGCGGAGGAGTTTGCTGAGCTCCTGCTGCTGCATGTTCCGCATCTGCTGCTCCATCTCGGAACTCAGAGGAGTCGGCGGGAGCGGGCCGCACAGGTACTGCCCCGCCTGGCCGGGGTACCCAGGGTAATAGGCTCCTGGGTACACACCGTTGCTTGGACCCATGGGATACTGCAGGGAGTACCCACCGTAAGGATACTGGGGGCCTTGACCGGAGGCCCGAGGGTAATAGTAGGGGTTGTCAGAGTTTTGGAACTTATAGTAGGATGTCTGGGCCTGGCGGGCTTCCCCCCAGGAGGTGGGGCTCACTTCATCGTCCGTGTCTAGGAAGTGAAGCTGAGCGGTCTGGCTCTTCAGGGCGGGTTTTTGGTCCGGGTTGTTCGGGTCCCACAGCCTGCGAGCAGTGCCGCCTCGGCCCCTGCTCCGGGGGCCTTTACTCCCAGCACCGCCAAGCAGGAGCCTGGGCCCAGGGTGACTGGGTTCGGGGGAGCCCGCGGTGCTGGCAGAGATGTCCGTGTTGGCAGGCAGGAACAGAATCCCACGGCCCCTCCCTTGGGGCTCTCTGCTCTGGCTCCTCGCCTCCGAAGCCTCTGAGTCATTGCAACCAACAAACGCCTTCAGGGGCTTTTTTTTATCTGTATCTGCCAGACTGATATCCCTGTTCATAGTCTTGCTGTCAAATGTGACTCGAAAGGGTCCCTTGACTTCCCTGCCATTGCTGCTCCACTCGCTCTCGCTCCTAGAAGCTCGACTCTGCTCTGAACGCTTTTTCTTGTCTGAATTCC